ACATGACCCAGCCAACGCAGCCTTGCCTGCCACATTCATACATACGCACTCACGTACATCTTGTGTACATGCATCCACGCACTCCGCCGGAGTGGTCAAATACATCCTGTGTCAATTGAAACGCTAATTGGCAAATACGAATGTAATTGTTTGTTGGGGGGGGGGGGGAGAGAACGCCGATTCGCGTCACGATGCCTTGATCGCGAGATTGGATGGAGCGCAGGGGAGGGGATTGCGTGTGTGCACGCGCGCGCGTGCGTGTGGGGAGCGGTGGCGCAGCGGTTAGCGCGTTGGGCTGCGAACCCTGGCCACCCGAGTTCGATTCCCGCTCAGGGCCACCAACACCAGTGACGGTTATCTGAACCGGTCCTGGGCCTCCCCTAGGTCGACTCAGCGCTCAAATGAGTACCTGGTATGGTGAATAAACATCGCCACGTGGAGATACAAAGGCGGTCGGGCGTGGCGCTGGATACCCACCACCCTCGCGTGCCGTGCGGGGGCTTCATCGGTGGTACTCGCCAACAGCACTTGCCCCAACAGTCTGTAAAGGTTACGCGGCGGGTGTGGGGGTGGATCTTTGTCTTTGTAATCCAATCATTCATTTGTCTGGTCCCATAATAATAACAACAACAATAATAACGTTTAGATTGTACAGCGTTATATTTCACAGGGTAATTCTCGTATTCATATTTGGCCTTGGCTAAAATTTATCGCGCTGCCACGGATAGCGTTCGCGACGCCTCTGTGCCGCACGTTGTGACGCAGGGGTCCCCGTACGCAGGGTTTGCCTTTGTGCCGCTGGCAGTCGTGCTGATGACTTCGACGATGGCAAGGCGGTGGCTACGCATAATGAAGATAGACTGCGCCGGACAGACAGGCAGTCAGACGCGCAGACACCGGAGGCGAAGTGACAGACGGACGTTGCGAATGCATCGATTAAGGCAAAAAAAATCGTACATCACGGAGCCGCTTTCGAACGTGAAGACGAACTGAAGGCAGAACACTCGTCGTACGCAATGACGCCAAACATCCCGCTGATGCAGGACCCTCCTGAGAAACAGACACGAGACTGATTGAGGCTATAGCTGGACAAACAAAGAACTTGATGTAGAGCGGTCGTATTCAGTAATTGGATAAATACTGGAGATTCATGTTATTCCCCTTTGTTGTTGTTGTTGTTGTTTTAATCCCCATAGACAACTGGTGAAAATATTTCACCCGGGCTACCCAACGAGATGGGAGCGTCTCGTTTGCAAGAGTGTCGAGGCACCGGCTGGACTCGATTGGACGCTCACTGAAGGCGCAGCAGAGCTTGGGCAATCGTTGGTAGCGCCGCCGCTGCGATTTGCGCGAGCGAGGCTTGGACACATCGCAACAGAGACACGCGCGGCCAGGGGTTACAGGGTTTAGCAACTTTAGCTGAACCCTGTTTTTTTTTTGTTAAATGGGTTTTGGCGAATTCGTTTTAAGAGCATTTCTGAGGGAGGGAGTGAGAGGAATAGATGGGATGGCGATGGATGGAGGGTTGGAGAGATGGATGATTGCAGGGAGGGAGAGATGGAGATGGGGAAGGAGGGAGAGATGGAGGCACGGGAAAGAGGGATAGTTAGAGGAAGGGGAATAACGAACTAAATATTAACGAACTACTGTTTTTTTTTATTTTACAAGGTAAGGCCCACTGAGCTCTACAGCTCTTTTTCAGAAGTGACCTGGCCACAAACGATTGCTCAACGACGTGGCTTATCACGTGGACATTTATAGCAGCCAAAGTGCTCTCAAATGGATGATGTTGATTTTAAATGTGGAGGGAAAAACCGGAGAGACCCAGACAAAAATCCACACGACCACGTGGAGAGAGACACGCAAACTTCAAATATACAGCAGCAAGCATCGTCAGGGTCGGGATCGAACCCACGATTTCCTGAATACCAGGCGAGGTAGTTAACATCTCCTAGCCACTCAGTGTGAGTGAAAGCCAGGGGGTGTAGAGGGGAGGTCGAAGGGGTGGGGGGGGGGATCAGGGAGACTAAGAGGAGGGAGAAGGGGGGAGAGACAGGAGTTGGAGAGCCCTGGAGGGGAGTATGGCTGGACCTCTGTAAAGTTGTCTCTGCGAGTTAGCGTCATCGTTACGCAAGAGCAGAGATGGAGGGGAAACTTGCCTAAGGGCTCTGCCCCTTTGCAGAGCTGCGGAGAGGAGGGACTCTGCGATGGAGGTGCTGCGTTGTGACTGCAAATCGCGGGGCTCCTCCTGCGCGCGACGGCTTTGCCCCAAAATGGAAGCCTCCGCCTGCTGCTGAATATTAGAACCGGAATTTCATGGCACTCGTCAATTGTAACAACACGATGCATGGCTTTGGAAGGACAGATGTTAAACACGGGTGGGCTTTCGTTACCAATATTTTGATTCATTATTTTTTTTCGGGGTGGGGGGGGGGGGTTCAGATCTCGCAAAAAAAACAAGCGTGTCGTAATCCCTCCAACCCGACGGAGTCGATGAATGAAGTTAATCACGTGATGAACAAACGTGGCAGTGTTATCACAGCTCTCAGCTGCTCATCGCCGCTGCATTTGAGAGCGATCCACACCACGCCTGACGATCCGTGCCGCTGATCGTTGCAACTAGCAGCATCATCAGGCAGATGCCGACAATGTGGATGATGCCTGATGATGCTGGCTGTAAACAGTAGCGGAACGCCCCCGGAACCATTTGCTTTCATGTTGCGAGATTCTTTCCAGCAGAACCTCTGGACAGTTCTAAAGCAATATTATAAATATCAAACGTTTGTTGACGTGACGACTTTATGAAATTGGCCGTGTCCGGTGGAGGAGGTTGTACAAAATTCATTTTACTCACGTGATCTGACCGAAAAATCTAAATATGAATTACGAAAAAGACATCTTATAGGCGTTTTTTGGGGCATTGACCTTTCTTCTCTGCTATGAAGAGGAAGACGTTGGCAAAAAATGTCGACTATTATCGTATGCTCATATTATAAACTAGTTGTTTGGCTGGATGACCTAGGTTGAGATACCATGGAGGAACGAGAGGGGACAGAGGAATTGAAAAACAGAAGCAGAGACAACGTGAGAACTTGTGATGCAGAGTACAGAGAAGGCATGAGGAAGGTGGAGAGAGACAGGTTCTCTATATAAGATGACAAGTTTTGCTGGCTGGCTGGCTGGCTGGGAGGGACGGACAGTAACAGTAACGTCCAAAGGACGTGCGGGTTGACCGTATATAACAATAATGTAATTTGTAAAAGCCCAGCACGATTTGATCGCGGACATAAAGAATGAGGCGAGGAGAAGCCTCACTCGGTGTGAGTGGAACGCCAAGGCGAGGGAGGCGCGGGGGCCCTGAAATACCTCGGGGACGGTGGCGGCGGTGGTGGCCTCGCGAACGGCACTTGCCCCAACGGGTCTGTTGAGGCTATACGGGGGATCTTTGTCTTTGGTGGCGTTGGCCGCGTTCCAGACGGAGAGGGGCTGCCGCGGAGACGCAGAGTCCGGGAGTGCAGGATGACAGCAGTGGTAGTGCAGCAGGGTGACGTTAGTGGTAGTGCAGCAGGGTGACGTTAGTGGTAGTGCAGCAGGGTGACGGGAGTGGTAGTGCAGCAGGGTGACAGCAGCGGTAGTGCAGCAGGGTGACGTTAGTGGTAGTGCAGCAGGGTGACGGGAGTGGTAGTGCAGCAGGGTGACAGCAGTGGTAGTGCAGCAGGGTGACGTTAGTGGTAGTGCAGCAGGGTGACGTTAGTGGTAGTGCAGCAGGGTGACGGGAGTGGTAGTGCAGCAGGGTGACAGCAGCGGTAGTGCAGCAGGGTGACGTTAGTGGTAGTGCACCAGGGTGACGGGAGCGGTAGTGCAGCAGGGTGACAGCAACGGTAGTGCAGCAGGGTGACGGGAGTGGTAGTGCAGCAGGGTGACAGCGGTGGTAGTGCAGCAGGGTGACGTTAGTGGTAGTGCAGCAGGGTGACAGTAGTGGTAGTGCATCAGGGTGACGTTAGTGGTAGTGCAGCAGGGTGACAGCAGCGGTAGTGCAGCAGGGTGACGGGAGTGGTAGTGCAGCAGGGTGACGTGAGTGGTAGTGCAGCAGGGTGACGGGAGTGGTAGTGCAGCAGGGTGACAGCAGTGGTAGTGCAGCAGGGTGACGTTAGTGGTAGTGCAGCAGGGTGACAGCAGTGGTAGTGCAGCAGGGTGACGTTAGTGGTAGTGCAGCAGGGTGACAGCAGTGGTAGTGCAGCAGGGTGACGTTAGTGGTAGTGCAGCAGGGTGACAGCGGCGGTAGTGCAGCAGGGTGACGGGAGTGGTAGTGCAGCAGGGTGACGTTAGTGGTAGTGCAGCAGGGTGACAGCAGTGGTAGTGCAGCAGGGTGACGTTAGTGGTAGTGCAGCAGGGTGACAGCAGTGGTAATGCAGCAGGGTGACGTTAGTGGTAGTGCAGCAGGGTGACAGCAGTGGTAGTGCAGCAGGGTGACGTTAGTGGTAGTGCAGCAGGGTGACGGGAGTGGTAGTGCAGCAGGGTGACGGGAGTGGTAGTGCAGCAGGGTGACGTGAGCGGTAGTGCAGCAGGGTGACGGGAGCGGTAGTGCAGCAGGGTGACGGGAGCGGTAGTGCAGCAGGGTGGCAGCAGTGAAGAGAGATAGGATGGACTACCGAAGGTGCAGTCGTAGAGGCAGGCGACGGTGATTGCCAATTGTGTTGAGCTGTGGCGGTTGTTTGGGCACCACTGCCAACTCAGCAGCATCACCAAATAGCATCACTGTTGAATACAATGAAGACGACAATGGCTTCGATATGAGAAACAAAAAACGATGATTCTGATGATGATGGTGATGATTGCAACCCAGTTGGTGGGCACGGAATGACGAAGATGACTAATCACACCCCACCATGTGCTTTTCTGCCCTCTCATCATTCCTCCTCCCCCCCCCTCCTCCTCCTCTCCCCGTCTCCTTCCCATCGTCATCGTCCTCTCTCATCCTCCCCATTGTGCCCGTGGAGCAGGAGGAGGAGGCGACGGTGGCGTGCGACGAGGAGCGAGTCGTCATCAACGTGGGCGGCGTGCGCCACGAGACGTACCGTAGCACGCTGCGCACGCTGCCCGGCACGCGCCTCGCGCTCATGCTCGACTGCCCCCCGCCGCCGCCGCCGCCGCCACCCCATCACCATCACCATCATCCTCATCATCATCCGCTTCACGCCCCCCCTCCCCTTCACGCCCCTCTTCCCCCCGAACCACCTCAACATCCGCCGACGCCGCCACGGCCCTCCTCCCCGTGCGCCTCGGCTCCGTCGGCCTCGCCGTCCCCACCGCCGACGCAGCAGCCGTCGCTGGCAGCGGCGTCATCGGCGTCATCGTCATCATCGGCCGCCGCGATCGCGATTCCGCATTCGCCGTCGCCGCTTCCTCCTCCTCCGCCGCCGCCGCCGGCGTCGTCGGCGTCGGCGTCGCCGCAGTCGCTGTCCGAGATGCACTTCTTCGATCGGCACCCCGGCGTGTTCGCCTACGTGCTCAACTACTACCGCACGGGCAAGCTGCACTGCCCCGCCGACGTGTGCGGCCCCCTGTTCGAGGAGGAGCTCGCCTACTGGGGCATCGACGAGACGGACGTGGAGCCCTGCTGCTGGATGAACTACCGGCAGCACCGCGACGCCGAGGAGGCGCTGCACAGCTTCGACCTCCCCGAGGCGCGCGGCGACTCGCCGGACCTCCCGGCCGCCGACGACGACGACGACGACGGCGGCGGCTTTGACGACGACGGCGGAGGCGGCGGAGGCGGCGGAGGCGGTGGAGGAGGAGGGACGGCCTCGGGCGGGGGAGGCAAGAGGAAGGGACGTGGGCTCGTGAGCGACGCCGTCAAGCCCAGGGCCTGTTGGAGACGCTGCCAGCCCAGGCTGTGGGCGCTCTTCGAGGACCCGTACTCGTCACGTGGGGCCCGGGTAAGGATCCTCGCCGCCGGCGTTGTTGCGCTTGCTTCACGGGGGGAAGCCGACGGTTGCGATTGACGACAGGTATCCCCAGGGCCTTGGCCGATACCACGGTTGCCCAGGATTGCAATGTGCCAGCAACGTTTTATCAATCAATATCGGTCCGATTTTCACTTAAAACTTTCGCAACTGCAGGGATTCGTGTTCTACGTTTTTTTTTCTTTCGGTAAAGTAACAAAGATAGAAGAAAAAATAATAACAGTAAAATAATAAAAATAAAGTAAATAGAAATATCACGTCGTTTCGATCGCAACACACCCACCCACCCACCCACAAGCGGTGTTGAGATCGAAACGTCATGATAAAGTCACGTAGAATGGAAATAAAATAATAAAAATAAAACATAAAATAAAATTATCACGACGTTTCGGCCACAACACAAGTAGCCTTCTTCAGGTGAAGGAACAGAACTGTCGGGATGACAGCGCTTCAATGAACACTGCTAAGCTTCGCAGCGTGACTTTACCGAATGAACCAAGAAGATATTTTATTGTTATTATTTTTTCTATCTGCGTGACTTTACCGAAAGAACCAGAGAATATCGGTCCGATTTTCCAAACTGAATCGGGTCGTAGGGGGGTAGCGACTCCACCAAGGCCGTTCCTCCATGGCAATGTGCCAGCAACAATTAGATTTTTTAATTTATTTACCACATTTTAAAATTACCTTTTACTGAATGCTACATTATTGACAGGCGTGTATATTCCACAAAATCTACTGAATTGAAAACCGTCAATCTGGAAGTATTTATTTATTTATCCTCATCAGGCCCTACTGTGTGGTCTATAGTACAGCCGCCAACTCCACTCCATCTCTGTGGCCTTCTCTAATTCGCTACGAAGAAAACCCATCGCCTGAAATGTCACCTATTTTATATATATGTAGATCCCCCCCCCCCCCGCCGCGAGTCACGTGTCGAAGTTTAACGGTGCCACCAAGCGGCGGCTGTGGCCCATGGGGAGTCCTCGGTGGACGTCCGCACCTGGCGGGGTTGCATCCCTCGGCTGCCACGCCGCGACTGGCCTTGACCGTCGTCGGGAGCGGCGGAAACGGCAACGCTGAGGCCCAGCTTAATAATCCAGTCCCACCCACTCACCCACTCACCGACCCACCCACTCACCCACCCACTCACCCACCCACTCACCCACTCACCCACCCACCTACCCACTCACCCACCCACTCACCCACCCACTCACCCACCCACCTACCCACTCACCCACCCGCTCACCCACCCACTCACCCACCCACCCACTCACCCACCCACTCACCTACCCACTCACCCACCCACCCACTCACCCACTCACCCACCCACTCACCCACCCACACACTCACCCACTCACTCACACACTCACCCACTCACCCACCCACCTACCCACTCACCCACTCACCCACCCACCCACCCACTAAACCGCCCACCCACTCACTCACCCACCCACCCACTCACCCACCCACCCACTCACTCACTCACTCACCCACCCACTCACCCACCCACTCACCCACCCACTCACCCACTCACCCACCCACTCATCCACCCACTCACCCACTCACCCACTCACCCACCCACCTACCCACTCACCCACTCACCCACCCACTCACCCACCCACCCACTAAACCGCCCACCCACTCACTCACCCACCCACCCACTTACCCACCCACCCACTCACTCACTCACCCACCCACTCACTCACTCACTCACCCACCCACCCACCCACTCACCCACCCACTCACCCACCCACCCACCTACCAACCCACCCACTCACCCACCCACTCACCCACCCACTCACCCATCCACCCACCCACTCACCCACCTACCCACTCACCCACCCACCCACTCACCCACCCACTCACCCACTCACCCACTCACCCACCCACCCACCAACTCACCCACCCACCCACGCACCCACTCACCCACTCACCCACTCACCCACCCACTCACCCACTCACCCACCCACCCACCCACCAACTCACCCACCCACCCACGCACCCACCCACCCACTCACCCACCCACCCACTCACTCACTCACTCACCCACCCACTCACCCACCCACTCACCCACCCACACACTCACCCACCCACTCACCCACTCACCCACCCACCCACTCACTCACTCACCCACCCACTCACTCACTCACTCACCCACCCACCCACCCACTCACCCACCCACTCACCCACCCACCCACCTACCAACCCACCCACTCACCCACCCACTCACCCACCCACTCACCCATCCACCCACCCACTCACCCACCTACCCACTCACCCACCCACCCACTCACCCACCCACTCACCCACTCACCCACCCACTCACCCATCCACCCACCCACTCACCCACCTACCCACTCACCCACCCACCCACTCACCCACCCACTCACCCACTCACCCACCCACCCACCCACCAACTCACCCACCCACCCACGCACCCACTCACCCACTCACCCACTCACCCACCCACTCACCCACTCACTCACCCACTCACCCACTCACCCACCCACCTACCCACTCACCCACTCACCCACCCACCCACTCACCCACCCACCCACTAAACCGCCCACCCACTCACTCACCCACCCAACCACTCACCCACCTACCCACGCACTCACTCACTCACTCACCCACCCACTCACCCACCCACTCACCCACCCACCCACACACTCACCCACTCACCCACCCACCTACCCACTCACCCACTCACCCACCCACCCACTCACCCACCCACTAAACTGCCCACCCACTCACTCACCCACCCACCCACTCACCCACCCACCCACTCACCCACCCACTCACCCACTCACCCACCCACCCACCAACTCACCCACTCACCCACGCACCCACTCACCCACTCACCCACTCACCCACCCACTCACCCACTCACCCACCCACCTACCCACTCACCCACCCACCCACTCACCCACCCACCCACTAAACCGCCCACCCACTCACTCACCCACCCAACCACTCACCCACCCACCCACGCACTCACTCACTCACTCACCCACCCACTCACTCACCCACCCACTCACCCACCCACCCACACACTCACCCACTCACCCACCCACCTACCCACTCACCCACTCACCCACCCACCCACTCACCCACCCACTAAACCGCCCACCCACTCACTCACCCACCCACCCACTCACCCACCCACCCACTCACTCACCCACCCACTCACCCACCCACTCACCCACCCACCCACCCACTCACCCACCCACCCACTCACCCACCCACTCACCCACTCACCCACCCACTCACCCACCCACCCACTCACCCACTCACTCACACACTCACCCACTCACCCACCCACCTACCCACTCACCCACTCACCCACCCACCCACTCACCCACCCACCCACTAAACCGCCCACCCACTCACTCACCCACCCACTCACCCACCCACCCACCCACTCACTTACTCACCCACCCACCCACTCACCCACCCAGTCACCCACCCACCCACTCACCCACCCACCCACTCACCCACCCACTCACCCACCCACCCACCTACCCACTCACCCACCCACTCACCCACCCACTCACCCACCCACTCACCAACCCACCCACCTACCCACTCACCCACCCACTCACCCACCCAGTCACCCACCCACCCACTCACCCACCCACCCACTCACCCACCCACTCACCCACCCACCCACCTACCCACTCACCCACCCACTCACCCACCCACTCACCCACTCACCCACTCACCCACCCACCCACTCACCCACCTACCCACTCACCCACCCACCAACTCACCCACCCACCCACCCACTCACCCACTCAGAGAGGGTCTTTCGCCACAAAGACGGCTCTCCGTCCTGCGTGCGGGGTCGAGTCGGGTTCGCCGCGCGTGTCGGTCATACAGAGATGTTAAAAAAATAACAGGTCTGACGTACGGCCAATTTTATTGGCAACGATGACAACAACAACAACAAAAACCCTTTCACGTGATTGTTGTTGTTGTTTGTGTATGTGCAGTCATTTCTGATGAGGCCGAGACAATAATTGTAATTGAATCACGAGGATGGGGGGGGGGGTGGTCTCGGGAAGGGGGGGCTCCCTGTATTTAAATTGAATCACGAGAGAGGGGAGGGGGGGCGCTCAGGGGTGGCTCTCTGCATTCAAATTGAATCACGAGGTTGGGGGGGGCTCGGGGGGGGGGGGCTCCCTGTATTAAAACCCAGAATGCCACTCATGTTGGCGTGAGCTGCCATTGCTCAGGTCCCGTGTGAGTGCGTGTCATCTGCAAAAAAAGACAAAGATCTCCCCGTGCAGGCTTGAGCAGGCTTTTCTGGGGCAAGTGGCAGACCCAGGTACCATGGCGTTAACTGACTGAGATGACCGGTGGATGCACCACCTGGGTTCCCTACTGCGCCAAGTCGCTGCGTTTTAGCCGCTCGGCGCTCCGCTCGATGTGGTGAGCGTCTCTCCTCCGCCCCCCGTTGTTTCTGGACGGCGACTGCCTCCAACTGCCCGGTCGCGTCCCTCACGAGCCTCTTCCACAGAGGCCGATCTTGACACCGCTTGCATGTACGTACGTATAACTTATTTCGCACCGTGCGTAGCCAACCGTGCTAATCAGAGGTGCCCGCCATCGGTAAGTCCACTCAGCTCCACATCTTGCCGGGGCACATCAGCCCATCTCCTCTCCAGCCTGTGCCATGCCCGTTTATCCCTCTCCATCTGATTATACCGAGAGATGCGCGCACACACACACACACACATAGGCGCGCACGCACACGGACACGCAACACCTGCGTACAACACTAAACTGTGTGCGCATCGTGAGACTGTATATGTGCATTGCTAGTCGAAATTGATTGTGCGACGAGCCCATTCTTACCGCGCGTTGTTTAAACAACCGTAAAACTACCCCGCTTCCGTCGGCGTCTCGGAGACACCACGGAGAGAGGTCGAGGCTGTTTATTTTTTCGTCTTTTCTAAAGCCACCACCTG